TGCTCATGTGTCTAAACATGGTTGGCTAATAAAGATTCAGAAATTAAATATGACCAGATGTGTGGGTTGAAAGAAAGGCTTTGAACACGGCTGATGTGAAATAAATGAGCTGTGAAACTATTTAAATTTCTTTTGTTGAGTAGCTTTACTTTACTTAAACTTCATACAAGTAATTCTGCAATTTGCTTTGTGAAGTCATTAAAATTTGAGCTTGTAAGAGAAAATATTTGACTGTAAATCTGAATTGTCTTCAGAATTGATTCATTGTGTGTGAAATTATTGCAGCAGATAGAGGACAATGCTGAACCACTGCCAACCAATCACCAGTTATTTCTGATAAAGGGGCAGGTCCATAAAAGATTTCCATAAAGGATGGTCTCATGTATCCTTAGTCATGGATCCTCCAGCAGCCCCCTTGCTCCTCGGTCCTCAGAGTTGATATAAAAAACTTGGAACATCCTCAATCGACTGGAACGACTTCTGGATTGAACGAGGAGCAAAAAGTGAGGAATGACCAAATAAGGGAGTTGGGATTTGACTAGTGAGTGATGTTGCTGATGTAGAGGAAACACTGAGAAGTCTCTGTTGTCTCCGTCATGATTTCTGTCGTTTAAATCAAAGAAAATGTTAATGGAAGACCAGTTTGAGGACCAGATTCAGCTGGTTTGTTCAAATTAAGAGCATGAATTTCATGCAAGTTAAAGGCTTTGATTCTTCAGCAGCAGCGTCAGTGTCTGTGTGTTTACTTAGCTGTTAATAAAGTTAACCTGATCAAACAAACTTCCCCACTGACCTCTGACCTCCCTGAGGAGCCAGTCACAGCAGACTGAGGGCTTCAATGGGACAGACTCATTCTGCTGCCAAGAGAAGTGACTTACTGACATCAGTAGACTGCATCCACATCCCAGCTGAAGTTTCCCTCCCAGTGCTTCAGACCTGGTGTGTCCCCAGCAGTGTAAGCAGACCGGACCAGATGTCCTCAGACCAGAACTGGGCCACCTGTGTATGTGCTCCTAGACCTGATTCCTCTC